TTGACATGTCCATTGATAGAGGAACCTGCGCCATGTACACGCTCACTCTAGTTATTCAAAGTAATGAACACATTTTTCGTCTCGATGGGAACTTACTGACTGCATTTGTCGACACAGACTTGCAAGGATTATTGTTGATTACACATTTCATAGATTATATAATTCTCTCCAAGGTATTCGAGGTATCCATTAATTACAACTCGGTGAAAACAATGAGGTACCGCTGTCAGCAATTGATGCATGATAATGGTCAGTAAGAAGCATAAATATATGTGCATTAAATGAATGTTGTGGCTTGTTTGGTTAACGTTGCCTTCTATCTATCCATAGTACTTGTGCTTTGTATTCTGATGCTTGGCAACTTTGGTGACAGGTTGCCCTGCAGTGCCCTCCAGCGGTTCAGAACAGCAACATCTTGTGAACCAGGTTTCTGCATAATTGCATGGAAATCTCAGCTCGTCTTGGATGCTCTTAAGGATGGTGATGGGCTTCAGCACGTGTGAGACACACGGCTGACCCCCCCGACCGACCCCAAAAAAATTAGCACTGGCAAGTCAAGACTGCAAATTATTTCCTTTTACAATTTTAATATTATTCGTAGTTGCTATTTTCTGCTCTTTGGTAAGGCTTCACATTTACAGGCCGCTGTTACAAACACAGGCAGAACCTTAGTGCAATGCAATAGTCCCAATGGAATTCTAATTCAGTAACCATATCTCACGGGAAGCAAATTTACGAAAAAAAATAATTCTGGCCCATTGATAAATTTATCTAAAAATACACAGTTCAATTATACTTCAGAATTACATTGACCTTCTGCATTTCACAGATATGGTTTAGTTACAGTAAAGCATAAAATCTGTTTGTACATATTTGCAGTGATATATAAGCACTTTTCTATCCAGAATGATGTAGACATTCTACAATATTTATTTTCCTTACAATGCTGCAGTCACTTCACTTTTCGCCTCTATATTTTGATGGAGCACAGCAGGAGAATTGACAATGGTACATCCATCTTTCAAGCTTGAGCAAGCCTTTAATGTTCCTTCATATCATTCCCTCCAGTCTTCCACTGACACATCAAAAGCCACCTCAACTTGAACCCTTCATTCTGACAGTTCTTTCTGCACTGACTTTAACGTTTAAATGTTATATAATAGCAAGAATTAAAATCATTTTTTTACCTTCACCAAACTCCCCTCCAACGTGTATCTGAGACATTTTTGCAATGTACTATTATATCATCGGTGGGTTAAATGGCATATTACACTGAAAAGTCAGGAGGGGGGGAGGGAATAACATTCGTGGCAAAACAATTTTTAAACAAATTGTAAATTGTAGGGCTGTTGAAACTGAAATAGAATGCAGAGCTGCTTCTCAATTACGAAAGCAAACAGGACTATTGTTTTGTGGGTTTGATATGTTGACGTTTGCAAACTAACGTTTCCTGGGATACCCCTTTTTGGAAAAAGTAATTGAATGGTCCTGTCTGACAGCATGCTCATTGCTTACCTCATGAGCTCAGGTGTGAGGTAATCAGCACATGTAGCTCTGCTGGAGCTGGTTGCAGATAATGGCCAGCAGCAAACGTGTACACGGTTTAAAAAGGTTCAAAAGTCACTACTACATAAAGGGTTAATCATCAGCAGATGGACCCCTTCAACACTATTGCGATGTCCGCCCACAACAACAGTACCGTGTTACACAGTCCGGGGATGCTTCTGCGGGGAGAAAAAAAAATGCAAAAAAACATACCAAAAAAATTGTTGGAATCTTTCAGATGTGATGTAAAAATTGAAGTTCTGTCCAACTTCTTCAGAACATTCTGTGATGTCAGACGGAAGGGAACTGTTTCTTTTTGATGTCCCTGTAAATAAACGAACGTCATGCGGTTTCCCTGAACAAAACTCCAAAACTTTGGTCAATATTTGCTTCAGTACTGGTTACGTGAAAGGGCAGTGGGAATAGTTCTGGGAGAATAGCTTGGTCTGGCTAATGATTTTCTCCATCTGTGACACAACGTCTGTTCTCCTCGGTGAACGATCGATTACTGAACATTGTATACATGAACTATCCGTGTCCTCTGTGTGGCAGAGCATGAAAAACACTCCCAACAACTCAACTCTTAAAGGAAGAGAGATGGCAATAGATTTTAACTGTTAAGGGCTAAAATTCCCCCATTTCTAAAAGAACTTTTCTCCCCTTTCAATACGAGTTACTTTCAAGCCTTCACTAGAAACGATCAATAAGTCACAAGAGACCTGCCTGGAGGACTTCTCTCTCCTTTCAACAATATCTTGCATTTATATAGCGTTCTTCGCACAGGATAGCAACTTGGGAGCGCTTTCCTTCAGGGCATGAGCTGGATTACCTGACCAACCGCCCACAAAGTACACAATCACTCCACTTTACAGTATATTCTATGCAGCACTTTGAGGCGCCTCAAAGACTATAAGGGTTATTATTAATCGTACCGCTGATCTGTCAAGAAAAAGTTCTTCAATGTTAATTTTCTTCCTTTTTTTCTTACAAAGAAATAACATCTTTCAGTTTTGATTCCTAATTCTGAAACTGGCAATTTAGGAATAGAACCATCGCCAGCTTTACTTTGATTTATTTGAACGTCATATTAAAGTATCTGAATAATTACAGTAATCATATGTGGAGTTCCAGTAATAAAGGGCTGGCAAAGTAGTGTCGATATAAATATAACTCAGTTATTATACAGTACTCCAAGGACACTTATTTTAATTGGTTATACTTCCCACATTGGTCCAATAGAACTTTTAAATTAAATTTAACAATTAAAGAATTTCAAGTTTGCCTCAGCTGATTTTAAAGTGTCCTTATGACCGGGAAATGGAATAATTTAATTTTTACTTATCACTTTGGGAATTTGAATCTAGATCCATAAAGTGGTTGTAAAGAGAATAGAGTTGGTGCGATTTCTTCTGGGGTCTTTTGTGTGTGAAATTTACAATTTACGGAAAAAATAATTCTGGCCCATTAGATAAATTTACCTAAAAATACACAGTTCAACTATAATTGTAAAGGGGCATTATTTTTATTTTCGGTTGTATTTGATTCAGCGTTTGACCCATAAAAAGGGAGCGAGGGCAGGAACAAAGGGAATGGATGCCAACTTGGTAGGTTCTCATTCTCGATCGCGTTCTGGTGAATCATTCCACCCTTTGTGTTCTCATATACTCAGATGAAGTCTCAAGAAATTGGTTTCCATTTTCGGATAATCAGAATTTTTTATTTGTGATGTACAGATCAAATGAGGTTCAAGATTTCATTCATCATACAACAGTTTTCACTTTGCCACAGTGTAAATGCCTGTATATTGAGGACACTGGCCTGTTGGATTCAATGCTTGTGATGCCTTTGAAAGACATTGAAAAAGTAGATTGAACCATTCAGTCCTCTCCACTTGTACAGTATCATTCAATAATTTCACATACATTGGTCTTATACATTGTGTACGTGGTGTGATGGAATTAAATACATGTCTAAAACTTACCTGTTCACAAAATCATGAGAGGGACTCAGACGCAGAAGGCCTTTTGGCTCATTTGATCTGTTGAAACATGGTTTGATAGCATAGTCATTAGCAGTGCAGCGTAGTGGGCAGTTATACCCCAGATTGCTTAATGCACTTGTCAGTGGTGATGATATAATCAGTTGGCATTTAGTTGAAGAGGATCTGCATGTAATAATAATCCTTACATTTGATATAGCGCCTTATCACATCTTCGAGACGACTCACAGAGCTTCGCAGAATATACTGTGAGCGAAACATGGCAGCCAGTTGCACACAGCAGTGTCCCACAAAACAGTCGTGGATTGAGTGATCAAATTATTACGATGCACTTAGAATATGCCTTGTGGGAAAATTTTATTTAGGTACTATTTTTATGCTTGTTTTGGGACCTTTATGCTCTGAGGCAATTGTTGCCATGATGTTGCTATGGTTTGTAGACAGTGTTTCATGACGGTAACAGTTAGCACACAGAAGGTCCATTGATACAACTGTGCATCACATGTTGTTCTGGATTATAGATCAATCTATTAAATAGAATACAATCAATAAATGAAGAAGTTGCTTCCATATGTATTCTCAATTGTAAAAAGATTTCTGGTGTACCACTTGGTAACTAATTTGTTGATATAGCAATGGAATTAGAAATGTAAAAAAACAAAGCATTTACAAATTGTGCAACTCCAGGATAGGACACATTGAACATAAACAACCCAATAAAATCTATATTACCCAACTTGTAGGACTAATTTATAATTTTAAATACAGTACTTCAAGAATCCTACATATCAACAAGCCACCAGACTACCTATTTCTTCAGGAAAGCCCTTTCAGTCAGTGCAAGTGAAAAACTATCGCAAAAGCAATTGATATTGCATGAGTCAGATCAACTTCCTTCGTAACAGCTGCATTTTGTTAAAAGTGTTCCAAAATATCCAAATATTGCAAAACAAAAAATAGTCTATTCTTTCCAGATCCGATCTAGGCGTTACTAGATGAAAAACTCTTCCTCCTCTTCTTCTACTATGCTGCCACTTTCATAGACGTGTTGAGCATTACGTGACTTCTGACAAGAATCTATATCCTTTGCCCCAACAGTGGCAGTCTGATGCACTCTGCCCGAAATAATACTATTCTCAGAAGACTTTGCACATTTCAGTCCAGTACTTATGATTGGTTTCAAAGCCCGGTTGTTTTCCCTTAAATTAGGAAGGCTGTTCTTTAATTCTGGTGAAAATGTACCCAAACAGCAACTACTGTGGCAGGTAATCGAGTCCGGCTTTGAAATGACAAACCCTGTGTCAACATCGGTCTCTGCGATTTCTATTCCAGGGGTGGTGTCTTGATCCGAGTCTCGGAGTTTAGCAGACGCGGTGAAATTGTGAGCTGGATCACAACGAGGCAAAGTTGCCGGACTGCTGCGCTGTGAGGAGTAACAGGAGCTGCTTCTGGGCGTACTGCATAAACTCTCTGAGGTACTGCTTTCATTTTTATCCCCCATTCCCGGCAAATCAATCCTCCTCTTATTTCCTTTCACCTGCCTCCTCTCCCGCTTGTCTCCTGCCAAAGTGGGGAGCGTTTTATTCTTGTCGTGTGGCAATTGACACTTATCCGACAATGAGTTTTGATTGCACGGCACTGAACTACACAAGCGATCCCTCGAGCTAGCGGGCTGTGCACTTGAGAAGCGGAGTAATTCCTGTGCAAGTATCTCAAGTTCTCTCTGACCTGTTGACGGAAGATTGGAGTCAATAAAGTCAAATACAAGGATTATCATCAATTAATATTCCATGACAATAGATTATCGTGCAGGTCACTCCATCAATTCTCAGGCTCTTTCGAGCCGTTACCATGGGCAGGGCAAAAAGAGGTGGCCATTTACTAATCTGGAACAATGCAAAATACGCCCCAAAAAGGAAGGAAAAGAATATTTTTCTATTCATATCTAAAATATCTGAATAAATTTTGAAACACTCAGATCCAATCTTTTGTGCCTTTGTTATCTTTCTTACAGCAGGGAAAATCAGTATGAATTAGAGGGTATTTTCAATCAAAAGTTTTGACCCTTTCATCTCACACATGAACGGTTTGAGAAATCATGATGCACAGCTTGTGGAGATTCATCATAAGATACAGCAATTTAATGTACAGTACTGATTAAGTCCTAAGCTATGCAATGGCAGCCTAACATTGCCTTAGAATGAAATGAATAACAAATTAAGTATTTGCTTCTGCAAGCTAAATACGAACCAATCCCTGAACCTAACAAATGGGATCAATTGTGGGACAGTTTCTAACAGAATTTCTTAAAAAAAACAACTCACACAGACACTGTAGAAATCTGCTCCGATGTCCTGGGAATGTTGTAATTAAATGACATTCCATAGACTCAGAGTGCACGTTCTTTTTTCATTAGTTAAAGAAAATTGGAAGTTATTTTTAGATCGCCTTAAGTGTGATCTTTTCTATCCCACTTGTATTTGTAGGCATTAAAACAATTCTATTAGAGAATGTAGGCCACAGCTGCTATGGCAGGTTTAGACCAACATTTCACTCTAAAATCAAACTGCAAATATAAGCAGAACTTTAAAAGATTATTTACTGAGTGGTATGATAATTGTGGATGTTTCAGCCTTTTGGCTACATTACTTATATTCCTGCCACTAACATAGATTAAAACCATAGATTTGGTCCTGGAATTAGAACATCAACACAACCAGCAGTATTACTTATCAGGACTATTTTATTAGCAACATTGGGTTACGGACTTTAACTCCTTCTGACCTTGTAAATTCCTCACTGAGTATACGAGCAAAGAAACACATATTAGTTTGTACAGTGGTCATCTACTGGTGTGGAGATGTACATCAACTCAAGGTCATGTTCATTCCCATTGCTTTCCCTACAAAATTATAATATTATAGCTGCCAACATTTATTTCACCATCACCAAATAATACTGTCCAGCTTCAGTAAGGAGGCCTTTGTAGCTAATTGTCTATACAACAGCAACAATGACCTTTGTGGAAAATCCATCACCCGACAAAATGGTTGAGCCACACTTAATACGCAATACCTACTTGGAAAAGGATCTTGTTTCCATCATAGTCTTCAGTTTGCCACCTTGTATTGCTGATGGGGACACACGGATTAGGTAGAAGTGGCACCAGTTCCCCAATTGCCTGCACCCTGAACTGCAGAACAGCAGATTCTTTGAGATTAACAGAGACTCCAAGTGGCAGCTGCTTCAAGGAAAGCTGGATACAGAAACTCTGGTTTGAGTACACTGTGAAACAGCAGAAGTCACTTTTCTGCACGGTGGCTTTGCTTTGTAAAATTAATTCGTAGAGTTTGACTGCATCTTCGAAGTTCTCGTAGCTGCAGCACAGAGTGACGCGCAGGATCTCACTGCCATAGTGCACTTGTCTCACGGCCCAGATGGGCATGTTGGCGTCTAAAGAATAGAAGTCCTGACAACAGATCATGTAAGGAAGGATTTTGCCCCCAACGCTTTCGCTGTGATGGTAACGCCACGGTGGGCCTTGGAAGAAGTCATGGACTTGTAATATCCGCTCTTCGCCAAAGTCCTCGTGGAAAAATAGAATGACGGAGAGAGACGGGTAGCTGGGCCTTTTTGACGGGGACATGGGACATTTCACGGGAGCTGCCCGCTCAGAGACGTGGAACAGTTGGATGTCGGGGCTTAACCACTGCAACAAGCAGTCCAGGATCTGCTGCAATGGTTGGGATTCTCCGGGATTGGCGAGAAGATGCACAGTCATCTGAAAAGGGTCCTGACTTTCTTCCGGCAAAAAATCACCTTTTTAAAAAAAAAGAAATGACATTACTGCCATTAACATAGATCGCGTGCATTTGATCACAGAAACGTTTGACATATTGACTCAACTGAATGTGCAGTGTTATTCATATAGAAACAGCTATTTAAAAACCTCAACATATGTATGCATTTACAAGAGCTATGATCTAAAACTAGCACAAGTAAAGTATCTGAAGTCTACAGGAGCTCACTGAAAACACATTTAATTTCAAAGAAGTCTTGCATACATCACAGCATAGCCAAAGTTGCTTCAAAAACACAGCACGGTTTAGGTTAATATGATCATGCCAAACCTCTTGTTTCTCTTGCGGTTTATGCCATCAGCTGAAAACTTTAACTCTTACAGTCAACCCTCTCTAATATATATAGCCAACCCTTCTCTCTCACACACTCACGCATACATATCAACACATACAGATCCAACATGTCAATTTGCTAGTGATAGGTAGCATTTGGTTAAAACCTACGGAAACACTTTATCTAGCCATCCACCTCTAAATATTTTATAAATGTGTTTATTATTGGCAATCCATTGGCAGTCACTGTGCCAGCTATCCTAATGTGTTTATACATACAAATTGAAGACTTACAAATTATTTTTATTGATGCATCCTCATTAATAAAACTGTAGCATAAATAATCAAAGTGGGAGGGAGAGGAAAGACAGAAAAGGTGAGACTTTTAAGGTTTATTTAACTTAACGTTCAACAGGAGGCTATCATTTCTAACTGTGCTCAGAAGGTGATTATCTTCATTTTAGACATTCCTACCTGATGCAGGCAGAGCAGAGAAATAATTCGGTACATGACTAACCTGGAGCCAATTATATTTTAGAACTAAATGGGACATTGTTCATGAAGCAAGCCTACTTTAAATTTATCAGCCAGCAGTAATTAGATATTAAACTTAATCCTTTTGACAGATGATTATTGTGCATGTACAATGGATTTCAGGAACCTAGTTTCCTTGAATACAATACAGATGAATGACTGACCAAACCAAGTCTATCGTAATGAAATCAGATTGAGAATAAGACTTTGGCACACGGTTGCATGCGGGCAGGGCGTAAGAGGGAGAAAAAATAGCTCTTACAAAGTTGCTTTTCGCCACCATCTCCCTCTATATAAAAAGATTCCACTGTTCCTTTTGAATTTAGCACATTTTTTCTGACATCCCACTGTTCATTTCATTGACTTCAGCCTGGTAACACACATGAGAGGTTCTGTGAGGGTGCCAAGGCAAACGTTAGAACTATAGTGATAAATGATCCATACAACAGCATTTTAATTTATTGCACAGATTCAACCACTAGAGCTGCTAACAATGGGCGACTGATTGAGAATGGGGTTGTGTCTATTTTATTTCCAAGTGGAAGATTTTTTAGATACATGCAGCAAATATATCATTTTCATAACCCATGCATGTGGCACAATGGAAAAATGGATTGTGGTTTGTGAGCTCTGCAAATCATAGGGAAAACTCCATTTTTACAGGGAAGAAATTAAGGGATAAGTAAGTCCTTTGAGACGTCTCAAAGACGCTATATCAAATGCAAGGATTATTATTATTATGGCTGTGCTGCCCAGTTGGCCTCAGTACAGGTAACACAAAGACTGTATACCACAGTCATGAGATTTTGTAGTAAAATAAACGCATTTTTAAAAATTACATGCGGGCATGTTTTTTCAGATGAATGAGGAAGGACAATGAATTGACGTTAAATGCAGCCCTATCCGGGAATTTTTCCATTGACAGAAGTTGTATGGAAATTTACCCACACCCTCAAATGAAACGTCCACAAGTTGTGAAAATTTTTTACAGCAAAATCTGCAATTCCTTAACAATTCTCTCCAAGGGCATGGCATTATGTGAAGTTAATCATTTGTGAAGTTGGACCAATGCCTCCTCTACTGCTACAAGCTGATAAGAAGTTTGGAAACGGCAACAGTATTACAGCAGAACCAACCAGGAAATCCTGGTTGATTGTGAGCTGCTGAAATAATTCAATAAGGGTCTGTTTTTGAGGGGGGGAAAAAAATCCTACTTTATTGAAACTCAAAAGCAGGGGCAACAAGAGCAATTTGCTCCTTTTTTGTTTGAACTTGTCAATTTAGATTGTAGAATTGCACTTAAGGCTATTAATTAGATATTTTGCAAATATTATCAACATGTAAACTGATATTCCAACTGGCAATCTGACTAATTAGCATGAATACAAACCTTTTAAAAATTGACAATGTAAATCTAGCAAATGGATTACAAAAAAATATTCAACATATGTAGAAATGTTTCTATGGTATTGCTGTCGTTTAGGCTTGCCTATTTGTAAGACATTAATTTATTCATAAAGTTTGGTGAAAACCTTGACCACTCTAACCAAACTTGATAAAAATCTCTCCCCTCCTGTACTAAACAATCACTCAAACGTACCTGATGGAGAGGTAGATTGGAGATCAGATAAGTTTGCTTATTTGGGGGATATAAAGTAACTTTTTGTTAAAATACACAACAAGCTACTGAATCTTAAAATCTCTGCTTTATTAAAGGAATGAGGAGTTTTGCTTTTCCAGTCATCTAATTTGCAACACAGAGAGAACAGCCTTTTCCTTGATTACAAAACAAAAACTTCTTGTTCCATAATTACGTTATTTAGCCAGATGGAGCGACAAGGATTATAACTTGATGCATGATGGAAAGGATATTATGCATCAACCATCTGTGAAGGTCTTTGTGTCGCCGCATATAAATTGTATGCTATTGGTTCAAAGTGTTTACACAAATACGTTACGTGGTTTTGAAAGATTTCTGGGATTTCTGCCAGTCTATTTTTTCAGTCTGATGTTCCCAATATTACTTTGTCTCTGCCTGGTGTAGATGATTTTGTTTTCCTAAATTGTTTTTTTTAGTGGTTTTAGATTGTGTAAAGGAAGGGAGATAAAGTCAGACATGAGAAGTGAAATGAGGCATTGGTATTTTGGCAACCAGGCTATTCTGCCAACACCACCTCTGATTGAGAGGTTCAAACATCTTAGCATTTCGTAACCTGAAGTCCTGGAAGATAAATACAAGGATGTTGACAAATGTGTTCAGAGGGCTCAGGTATACTTGTCCCATCTAGTGTGTGGTGGATGAGCAAATGGTGATTAACTTGATGGCTGCTTCAATTCATTTTCCAGCTGTGAAAAACACTTCTGGGCATCGCTATTACAAGAGGCAAGGATTGGTTTCACTGCAGAACATTTTCTTGTTTTGTTAAGGGAAAGTTAAGTTCAGTTAAGAAGAAGGTTTTAACTGAAATATACTGTACAACAATAACTTGCATTTATATAGTGCCCTTCATGCATGTTAGTGTCTCCGAGCACTTGACAATGGTGGAGCTGAGTAGAAAGGGGAGGTGACCTTAGGAACGGTTGAAGAGGGAATCCTTTTGAAGACAGGGAAACAGGGGGCAAGGTGGAGAGAGTGAGACAGGAAAGCTTTGTTTTCAACAGGAATTGCTTGACATTGTAGTGGGCATTTTTGTTGATTCTTGTAAATTCATACAGATTCCCAGAGGAATGTGCCCAAAACATACATCTTACTCACTGCTAACTGTGTAGCCACAACTTCTGATAAAAGAACTGCACATCCCACATGTTCATGCTGATCATAGGAATGGTGGTTGACCTACAAGGACCCAAGAGCAGCATGTGATTCAGGAGTCTCCCAGATATGAACAACTTCTACGTTCATAGAGCCCTTCACATAAGAAAAAACATCTCAAAGACAGTGTAATCACCATCACAATGTAAGCTTGATTAACTTTAATCACAAAGTCTCAGAAGTTTTGTTTTTATCTCTAGATTTGAGATTTTGGGGATGCTAATGTTTTGTACAAAGTCCAAGATGTTGTGTCTTTGAATCCAATCCAAGATTAATAGAGGGATCCAGAATAACACATCAAGCAGGTTTTGGTATGTAAGCAAGATACTACAAGGATGCACATGCAAAAACAGGTTCTCCTGTTTGTTGCATCCAGTGGCTATAGATGTCCATCAAACCCGATTTGACTCCTCCCATTCCCTCCCCATTCCTCCGAACCCCCCCACACCCCACCTCTCACCCTTCACTAATTGGCAGCCCAACTCCAACCCTTGCGAAGGCCTGGAGTCTGCTACCAATCAATCGCAATTTGATTCCACCCTCCTCCATCCTGGAGCCACTCAAGACACAGAAGACATCTGTGTGAGTAGAGTACATTCAGCAGTGACCATCGCGCCATTTTGTCCGGATTAACTGGATCGTTGTCCGAATTAACCGGCATGTTTAAAAACAGGCAAGAATACAAAGGAATGGGGGCTTTATTCAATTTACCCGATGTCCAGGGTTAACCGGCGTCCGTTTAAAACAAATTCCACTGTATCACTGGTAATTTCATTGGTAAGGAAGGTCCACACAGCCATCGTCAGCAAATCATCCTGTTGCCTCTACAGAGGTAGCTGTGAGTTCATCAGTTGTTCAGCTACCGATGCTGGGTTTTCTGAGTGGCTTTGATGTCATGCCACACTGCATTTGGATTGATATCTGGAGATCGCTGCTGTAAAAGTGCTTAGTTGTTTGAAAATTACTTTGCTTCCATGAGATGTGGATAATTCAATCCACATCTAACAGCAGCAAAGCCGGTGTATTCACATTTGAAATTTGACACTCTTGGCAGCAATGGCAAACTCCTGGTGTGAATAATGTTTAAAGATACAGGGAATAATTTGCACGTATCATGTGTGACAAAACCTACAACTCACATCAAGCAGTTCGCCTTCAGTTTCCTTCATAGGCACCTGACAGTTCTGTATTAGCATAACAAAGCTCACATCAGCTACTGTCAGAGAACCATCTGGTTATTGAAATAAAGAAAGACTGCTTCGTACCTGGAGACGACTCAAAAAGGTGGAATGGAACAAAGCTAATAATGCAAAAGCAGTCCTTACTGGGATGGCTAGAATTCTTAAGCAGCTTTAGGCAAGTTTCCTTACTCCACATACCTGTATTCACCTAGCAGTAAATAGGAACCAGGTTATTAGGCAATTGGCAGATCACTTTCCGGGGGTAATAATCTCACCAAAAATATATATATATAAGAATAATAATAATAAATTGCTCACTCAATCCCAAACTGTTTGTGGAACACTGCTGTGCACAATTGGCTGCTGCGTTTCACCAACAAAATACACAGTCATTCACTTTACAGTATAATTTGTGAAGCGCTTTGAGGCGTCTCAATGCTGTGACAAGGCGCTATATCAAATGCAAGTATTATTATTAATTCAACTCCAGGTTATATTGAATTCAAATTAACTGCTTGGCCAACCCAGTATGTTGAGTGCCTATTTAATTAGATTATTTTTCTTCTTTTGAGAACTGGAATCGATTTGAACTGAGTTGAAATCCAGCTCCAAAAAGTCAACATTCTTCTAATACATGTATAATTCTTCTATTGGATAAAGCACCAAAAACATCAAAACATCTCAATCAAAAAGTAATCGTTAAATGTAGATTTTAGGCAAATATTGTAGTTAATATGCACAGAAGGTCCCACAAAGAGTCACAAAATGAAGGACCAATTACTCTGGAGAATTGTTGACTAGGACACTGGGAGAAATTCCCTTCTCACAAATAGGATCACAGAAACTTTAATGTCCACGTGAATAATTTAGATGGGATTTCTCCTCATAACAATGGCATGTCTAACAATGTAGCATCCATTGGAGGATCAGCATGGACCAGGAGCTCAAATCTTAAAGTGGGGTTCGAACCCACAGATTTCCAACGCAAAGACAAAGGTTTTAACAACCAAGAGAAGTTGACATTTTAGTGCAATACCTGAACTGACACTAGACAAATGGAGCTAAGAAAACATGAGTGTTTTGCTCTATAATTGGACGCAATGATATCATTTGACTGCACAGCGTTTTGAATAAGCCACAACATTGTTTTAATTAAAAGAAACATTGGGAGGGGTGGTGGGGGATGTAATGTAACTTGCCTTGAAGGGCATACAGTGCTTCTGGAATGACTGGAACTATTTGAATTTCCAGACACCAGAATCACTGAAATAGAATAACATAATTCTGAGCAAAACAGCAAACTGCAGTGGTCGACAGTACTTTGCAACTAAAGCTTACTTTACAAAAGTATTAAGAGATTTATTTCTCTTGCTTTGTGCTTTTGGTTTTGTAAAAAAAAATGTAATTTCAGTGTTCTAGATTTCAAGGCATTTACTGGGTGCAACACAAGCTACGGATGCTCTGTGTGGATTAGGCCTGGAACGTTTCAAACCATTTACAACCAAATAGAACCACCATAGAGAACTGTCTGGCAGAGGAGCCGTGTTCTACACATTATGTCAATGCCATTTACACTCTTGGACAGTCAGTACTGTTTGCTGTCTGACCTGTAGCATTTGGGATTCTGGATCTAAAACTTCTACACTTATTACTGACCACCTTCCTATCCTCCCTCTTGACATTGCACATCTTCTCTCTTTGGCTCCTTCCCAGGGTTATGGACAGATTGTAGGCATTGCTATAAACTATTTGCCTGGATAAATTACAGTTTCTACCACTGAAATGGTATGTTCAATTTGCTCGAAATAACCCAATTTTCTGAAAAATCGTGTCTCAAACATAGGTTCCTTATTATGTCTCCAATACTCTTTCCAATAACAGGAAGAGCATCACTCCATCCCACAGGATCTTTGCTCCAACCTGATCACATTCCCATAGATTGTCATGATATACTTCCAGAAGCAATCCCAATTTGCAATGCAAAATGGGTGTAAAGCAAACACGTTATCCATGGAGCTCTAAAACCTGCCCATTTTTGGTGAATACATGCTTTGTGCTAATGTCCTCATTCAATGATTTTTTTGGTTAAGTCCTTACACAGTATTAATTATTCTCAAATGGATCCATGCTGGTTGATTTATTTTCAATAGGCGGTGCAGTATTCCCTTGCTTGCTCATTAAGAGTACAGGTTCTGATATTGGTGTGCAGTTTCACACACAAACTTAACAATGCTGCTTTTGAGCTCTTTCAGCAAAGATATTTCAGTATATCATACTCTCCAACCTCCTCCCAATTGTCTCAGCTGAAATTTCAGAGCGTTATTAACGCTTAAACAAGCTCAGGAAGAAGGAGAATCAAATGAAACCACTGTGTTCTCAGCATTTCTATGAATATGTATTTTTTCTCTCACTATATTTTGATGGGAGAGCAGTTTTACTTCACTTATTAAAGCAAGATTGAAGATGAACAACTACAGCATTACCCTTTCCCTTTCATTTTTAATGCCCCAACATTCACAAATGTAGTTAGTACTTACTGCTTGCTGAAGACATCCTGCTGCAGTCAGACCTGTAAAGACATGATGATAATGGTACAAATTAAGTATCGTCTCTTGATGTAAGAACACAACAGAAATCACATAACAGTGAAAAATAAACCAATCCAATAAATAAATCCAAGATTCTGGGTTTCAAAGCATTTTGCCACATCTAATGCCGAATCCCCAAATCACTGAACACCATTGAGTGGTCTGTGGGGAGTCCGAGGAATGTGGCTTGAAAGAGCTCTAGCTGTTGATGTGGAATAGTTGCTGGTGTTTTTTTTTACTCTTTCATGTACCACATTATGATTTGGATTGATAGTTGCAGTGAAATTGGTAAACTGACTCAACTGTAAAAATAACAGTGGCTGAATTTACCATACGCAAGTGATAATTGTTTGGATTTCCTCTTGTTATTGATATGCAGACATCGTGAGTAAACACTTTGAAATTCAAAGGCGGATAAGGTTTCCCTTTTAGACTTGTGGGTAAAGTCACCATACTGTAAACAACTAGGCTACAGACACAGTATGTGCTGAAACATACAATCACAGCTGGGCAGCAGTTATTGGGATGCCACAATCCAACTTATACCCCAGATAAGAGAAGGGGGGAAATCAGGCAGGGTTCTTATTCCCGTCTTAACTCTACACAGTAATGTATGTATAAAAATGTTTGACATGGATGATGCCATTAAAAAAAACTTTTGCTTTGTCGCGAATAAGGATAACCTCACAAATTTGTTTGGTAAATTTTCTACAAACTGAGCATTCACAGCTAAATTCAGTTTGTCAAAAAGTACCCAAACTAGGCCATGAGAACGGACAAGCTTTCCACATGCCTAGCTTCACTCGACTGAGGCTTTGGTTCGCTCAGTTATAGACATGTCTACACTCCAACTTTCATTGATGAACCAGATTGTCTTATTAACCATCAAATCAAACCCAAAACAATAATAAATTGGTCATTTTCAATCTACGACTGTTTGTGGGACATTGCTGTGCGCAATTGGCTGCCGCGTTCGCCTACAAATATACAGTCAATTCACTTTACAGTGTGTTCTGTGAAGTGCTTTGGGACATCCTCCCGACGTGAAAAGCGCTATATTAAAAATGCAAGGATTATTATTATTATTATTATTATATAAATTGTCTTATTGACTTAGATGCCTCCTTTGCTGATTTCAACCTCTGCTTACTATGGCACCTCCATACACATCTATGAGTGAATAATTATTTTACCGAAAGGACAATTGGTTTTATTGAACCCATCAGGACTCGACCCAACACTTTCTAGTTGTCTTAAATCCGCTGATTTATTTGGTTGCTATACTATACCCAATCACAGAGAATATTGTTTGTTTGGAACAATGTTGTTTGTTTGGAGAATACTGTTTGGTGAATATTATTTGTTTGACACCTTGTTTGTTTGGAAAGCGAGTCAACCTTTCGGGTCCACGACCCTTCATTAGAACGATCGTGGACCCGAAATGTTGACTCGCTTTCCTTTCTCCATAGATGCTGCCTGACCCGCTGAGTGTTCCCGGCGACTTCTGTTTTTGTTTCAGATTTCCAGCATCTGCGGTATTTTGCTTTTTGCTTATACCTTTGTTTGTTTGTTTGTTTTTAAAAAAAGCATCTTTAAATATTTTCGGGTCCGATTCGATTCATGGGGCTAAAATTTTCCTGCGCGGAGATGGGTATTGTTGGAAAATGGGCATAAAGGAAGCCGTTTCGGTGGGGTGAGTGGTGGTGGGGGGGATGTTATCCCTTGAGAGGCAGAGAGAAGCAAGACAGTCAAGTCAGCCCATTGAAACAATCTGTGTGTGTGTGTCGCATGTTTACAACCCAGGGGTTCACATGATTGTACACTTATATCCTGGCATCAAACAATAAAACCCATTGAAGAAATATAACTGCTCATTGTTTGGCTGCAAAGTGAAACATTGTGTGTTTTTTCCTTCCCCCCCAAACACACACACACACACACACACACACGTTTGAGATTACTGTACACACAGCACAAAGGAAGTTCATCTCGTTTTCCCCTCCAGGTTCCTGCAAACGGGAAGGAGTTGGTTGAATGCTTGAGGTTACCAGAGCAACACTTGTTTACTCCCTTACACAGAGAGGCTTTTGCAGATTCTCTCCAAGCTCCAGCAATCACCACCCAAACAAACACAACCATATATATATATATACATACATACATATCTTTGGGTTTGCAAGGCATGACCTTAAAACTCACTCAAGAGATATTAATCTGTTTAACCTGTGAACCCACTGCGATCAAAGATGTTCAGAACATTAAAAACAAAAAATCCTTTTGTAACTTGTCCAATATAATTTTTTTTTTTGGGGGGGGAGGTGGGTTGGTTGGTTGGTTGGATGGTTGGTTGGAGGAGGAAAAAAAAACCCCCACAAGAATCATTTGTTTTGCATTAGAAAACTTGACCTCTCCCAATGTGATCGCAATGTGGTTTAAATGCCCTCTCGATAAGGAATTATCCTCTCGTTCATTTGCATTGTGGCTCAGACCTTCTCTCTCTCTCTAACCACAGGGAGAGAGAGAGAGAGAGAGCTGAGGTTGGGGTGAAATAATGTGGACCCTGAACACAAAAACAAGGAGGTGGTGGGGTGGGAATCATGCAGGTCTGCAAACAGAATAAAAAATATAAGTCCAGGTAGAAGTTTTATTAATTTTCTTGTCGGATATCCGTTTCCTCCCAACACTGCTTCAGGAAAGCTCTCTCTCTCTCTCTCTGTCTGTCTCCAGAGAGCAGCCCCAACACTCACTGGAACTCACTCCACACACACACACACACACACACACTGTGTTACAGGTTTCTCTGTAAACTCGAAACGTTTTTAAAACAAGGAACTCGTTTTGCAATTCTGTCTCATCCGAAGGGAAAAAAAGGGAGATTTCCCTTCGTAAGAGTAGATCAATGGATTTAACTATATATAAGTATACACACACACACACACACACACAAAGGGTGAGCAAAAAGTCATGATAACTACCTTATTATCTTAAAAAAACACAAATATAATTCCTGGAAGACTTTATTAGACATTGTAATGGTACCACAATGTATATATATATACACACACACAGTATATATATATATATATAGATAGTCTCAGGCTTTAAGATGTATATTCCTGAATCCTGTCCACCCATTGATGGTGATGGCTCTCCATTTGTTGGAAACATCTTTATTTATTTCTCGATGGGGTTAAAGTCGCAGCAGCAGAATTAGGTTTCCACTGTCATTCCCCCCACCACCAGCACTACACACAAAGGAGATTCACCAACAAATACACCCTTTTCCTCCCCAATATTGCAGACTGTTTTGAAAAAAAGAGAGTGCCTTTACTGTGTGTCTCTCTCTGAGTCTCTCTCTCTCTCTCCCCCTTTCCCTCTGGGCTGAGCCTCGCCTGGAAACCAAGAGAAACAAAACAACACACACACACACACATTCCTCAGTTAAAACTTTTTAAACCAATATTTTTTTATTGGTGGTGGGGGGGAATAAAAAAAAAGCACAAAGGCACTTACCCTGCGGTTTCTGCTCCAGAATCCCCACACTCTTCCACCACAGCTCTGCATCCACCTCTCATCATCATCATCATCATCATGTCCTTCCTTCCAGCAGCATTGAGGAGGGAGGGGGAGAGGAGGGGGAGAGGAGGCTCCACAGCTTTGTTAGTAACAGAGAGACACAGAGCTCAGCTCAGATGGTTTCCCTACTTGTTAGCAACACTTAACACCACCTTCTCCATCACGTCACTCGCCCCTGACAGGCTGGAGCCTCGACTTTCATATGCAATCCTAATTAAATCCAGATGCTAACACAGAGAGAGAGAGAGAGAGTGTGTGTGTGTGTGTGTGTGTTTAACCTGATATTTAACCTACAATCCCTCGACTCTTTTTTTTTGTTTTCAAAAAAAACCCTCTCCCCACCAAATAATAGGTACATTTCGGGTTAAAATTAAATTCAGCAGTTGTAACTCGATATACTGTATTCCCCAAAGAAGGGGGTAAAATGGTCTCAGCCACAAGGGAGACCACAAATAGGAGTGCCACAGAATTAAATTGGCATCAGTGTGTGTGTGTGTGTGTGTGTAGTGAGAGGGGGAAGGGAGAGAAGATAACTCGTGAGGGTGTGCATTTCACACTCCACACTGTAGTTTATGTGCTTTGAGATGTCCTCCTGACCTGAAAGGCGCTATACAAATGTAAAGTGCATTGGACTGTACGATACGGTAATCCGAACTGCACCCAAACTCTTACAGACTAATCAACCCGCCCTCGATAACGGGGAAGCTAATGGAAACAATCATTGGAAGTAAAATACAACATCGACTGGAGAAGACAACTGTAAGCTTCAGAAAGGGGTTGAAGTTCTTTTCTCATCATATTGCATATTCAAGGGCTCAGGGTCGCTACCCTGGGTGAGGGGCGCTATACAAATGCAAGTTGTTGTGATCAAACTCAAGTCTTTTTGAAGTGGCTAATATGACATTTGACAGTGGGAAGTCGTGTGATTGTAGAGTAACTGTACTTCCAAAAGGGCGCAAAGAATCACGCAAGACTCCTTCACCAACAGATGCTACTGGTATAGATGCACGGATGGATGTGCATTACTAACTGGTCATGGGCAGATAAGAGAGAGTAGCTGTTGAGAACTAACCCGACATGGGAAGGGATGGTTGGGTGGGAGAGAAAGGAAAATATTGAGTGGAGTGACTCAGGGCTTTATGATGAGGATACCAAGCTAATGGAAACTTGAAATTTCCATTTGAAGGTGGCAGTGCATATGTGGAGTTTTGTTTGATTTGGATACTCATGATGACAGGTCCCCGCATGTTACACCCCTGGCTGACCCAAGTAACTGATGGAATCAGCCAAGATCTGACAAAAAAAAGTCAACAAATATGCACCCAGTAGGATATTAAGTTCAACAGATTAATGTATCTAGGAAGTAAAAATAGGAGGCACATGTACTCCATGGGCAGGTTACAACCTTCCAAGGAGAGATGGTGAAAGATCTAGGCGCTGGCCGACTCCTCATTCGCCGTGACAAAATAATGTGAGGCAGCAATGAAAATAGGATGTTGTGCTATATTGCCACATTAACTTAATTCAGATCCCAGCAGTCACGCTGAAGCCACACACCTAGTCAGGCCATTTCAAGAAAACTGCAGTTCTGGTTGCTGGGACAAAATAGCAAACAGTAGGATAAGGCAACTCTAGGTTGGCTTTTTTTTACACTAAATAATAAACAAGCTCAAGTAGGGTGTTGGGAGTGCAGGACATAACTCATTCAAGAATTAGCTTTATGTTGGAAGGAGATCAAATGAGTCAATTATTCTTCTGTTCTCCTGTGAATCTTCCTGCAAGAGATCAGTGAGGGTAGGTTTAATAAACTACTGTCCATCACATTTTTTTCCCCAGGCAGAAGATGGTGACCAACCAAGATTTAGGGCAAAAGAATAACTGGTGTCAGAAACTTTCCCCCTTGAATTTAGGAGATTGTAAAAATCGACTGTTACATTTGATATGTGGCAAGTGCCATAACTATTTTTGTACAAGAGTTTACATGATACCTAACAGACATTCTATGCACATGATAAATAATATATTTAATCTTTATTAAGGAAAAGTCAGCAATAGGAAGTACAAAATATGAAGTCTTAGTTTGAACTGTTTTCACTTCATTTGTATAGAAATAATAGTCTACTGCAGACATTTAATGATAGAATCCTGAGAAGAAATAGCAGTCATTAAGTCATTGGAAAAAAGTAAATGAACTTTGAGCAGGAATATAATTAAGTATAGGAGTGAGTCAAATTGCAAGTCAAGTTTAAGTGAGTCTCACTAATTCATCTTAAGGGGTATTAAAAAAGTCAATACAAAATTGTTTGTAGAAAACTTTACTCAGTCCAAACTTTTTTTTACCCACAGGATGCAGAGGGTGAAAGGAATTAATTTAAAATAAATTGGAGTTTCTGATGCATCAAGTATTTTTCCATAATTTTATGCAAGGGGAATTTTTTTTTAAAAAATGAAATGCAAAAAAAGCTTGGGTTCCAATTACAGAAAACATTTTTTTCTCTAACAATATATAAAAATTAAGTGACAAAGTCAGGTCTCCAATTTTTTGCTTGGTCTGCTGTTATTTTACAATCTACAGTACCCAACAGAACAAAAACTTTCACAATCAGCTTTTTGTCTCCAGTAATACAACAAATCATTTTTAGGCAGCACACCAACTTCAGTCTATTCTACTGGCTTCATGAGAAGTTCGAGGTCACACATATCTTTTGTGTTCTAGCTGTCAGTAATACAAAGATTACAGCAGTTCCCCAGGCTACTTGCCACAAAAGCAAGAGTGGTTTTATGCACAAGCTTTTTATTGATCACCAAATTAAATGTATTTTCATGAGCAATGCTTCGGAGATAATACAGGAAGTTTATTCTCCATGGATATGCAAACCCTAGTCGTGTTTGTCTAATCATTTGCAGTTCATCACACCTAAGCACTGGGTGGACCAGAAGTGAAAAATAATTATTTGCCAATGCATTGTCCGTTTGTGAACACTGACGTCAGAATCCAGAGCGACAGTGAAAACAACTGCAGAACATTAGTTAACATACTGGTAAACAGGATATCATAGATTTCTGAGGGCTGTTACACATTAAAAAGCAAGTTACATTAGGAAGCACAGTATATGGATTCTTTTATGCTGTTCATAACCTAAACTCCAGAGATGAATTATAAATATTAAATTACAGTGGAGTTACGTTGTTACCAGGGACGAGTGGTTACAGCGATCAAAGAAATATTAGATGCTGAGTTTTTCTCCCTGGAGTTGAAACACAGGGAAATGTTCATGTGCAGGTGAAGTCACAGAACCCTGTCTGGTTTGGATACTTTTAAGCATGGTCAGACATTGAGCTATCCAAAACAAAAAATTGAGATGAAGGAATGATAGAGATGTTTAAGACTATTAAAAGGATTCAATAATGTACATGTTAATGCCCTGTTTTCATTTGTTGGCGAATGAGAGAGCATCAGTATAAAATAGCAAGTAGTAGATCAGAAAGGGAGTTTCGGAGGAATTTGACCCAAACGGTGGTGAGATTTGGAAATCACTGGCAGAAGCTGTGGTTGAAGCAAAAAGCATCAATGTATTTAAGGGAAAACTTGAAGCATACATGATGGAGAAGGGAATAGAGAGGTATAGGTAAATGGAATAAGAGGAATGGGATTCATGTGGAGTAAACACTAGCAAGGACCAGTTGGGTTGACTGGCCTGATTGCATGCTGCATTATTCTATGTAACAGATAATATGGCTTGAAAACTTACGACAGCTTTGGAGAAAACACAGTGTACCTCAAACTACAAAATCCAGCAATTTTCTTTCTGATGCTGACATTTAATATGAAACTAATTCAAATGGGCTTGTGGCTATATTATCAACAGTAACATCTCGATATTTACTTACCTGGCCTTATGTTCATAAGAAAGTCCCCCTAAATCTTTGCTTTGGCTAGATGACAGTTAGTGTACATATTAATTCTTTTTGGTAACCTTAGTTAACGTTTTAAAAATAACACACAAGTTCTTGCACATTAAGATAAGATACATAGCACATAGCAAAAAAAAAATCTATATAAGCTCCAGCATGGTTATCACAAAGCAAATATAAACTCCTTTACAAACGTGCAACATTTTTCTCCTTGGTGCTTTTAAAATATTTGTTTTAAAAGCTACACACACAGAAAGGCTACACAGAAAGTACAGCCAGAACGCCTGGCAGCCAAAAACGTCAGTTTGAAACTTTAGCCAAGTTTTTCTATAATTTACACCAAAAGTACTGAGATATAGAATACAGACTTTTGAGTCCAAATTGAATGTACTGTTTTTCACCCATTATTCTGCATATTTAAACCATGTGTGAATTCTTCAAGGGCTTTAGCATTCCCTTCAATAACATGGGATTGAATTAGAACTCTCAGCATGAAGGAAGCAATGCCAGCATACTACTTTTTCCTCAAAAGATAATTTAGCAGGCGAATTCAACAGTTTATTTGTAAGAATCTGCACACAATTTTTGAATTCTTTAAAATGAACCAGGTACGAAAAGACAAAACATGGTTATTTAGACTTCATTAGAATTATTCTAAATGGGAACTGCATTGTTAATTTCTGTAATGAAGGAGAACTTCACTTTTAACTGTGAAACCTTTGAAAAAATTATAAATTATTTTAAACAGATAGCAAGCTGATATCTAAGGATGTGAAGTTTGTACAAACAATTTCTTCCTGTCAAAGGCTTATTTTAATGGACTTAATTTCCTTTTTTTATATTTTTCTTAAAGTTACATCAAAACATTCAACTTCATACTTTGTGTAGAACCTTTAATGTGTATTCCATTGGGTGTCACCATAACAAAGACCTTGGCTGAACTGGATTTATCGTAATATGCCCTTAAAATGTAGTACAGCAAACAATGACATTTATCTATAATAACAAACCTCATAACTTAAAAATCAATAGCCTACTGAAGATTAACCTTTTAAACATAAATTACTGTAGGTATACATATATTAAGTGTTCCCAAAATTTTACTAAACGTTGTTTTATTAAACTTTCAATCCCACTTGTACCCATGCTCACTCCACATACAGCACTGGATGGGGCTTNAAAAAAAGCCGACTCCAATATAATTGTGGATATGCTCAAAAGTCACTTGAAGCGCCATTTTTGAAATGTGGTACAATAGAGCCCTTGGTACAGCATGAAGAACTAGGATGGCTCTCTCAAGACTTTTGGCCATAACACACACAGAATTCACTTTGAAAGAGCATTAAAATCGATGTGATTACAACTATCATGTGGGAATGGTTCAACATTCATTATGAAATTCAGGAAGAATACGTTACACACCACAAGTTTCTACCAATTTAGGAAGTGAACACATTTCCCGGGTAAAGCTATAAAAATACAGTTTGCATAAGTTGGCAGCCTAAGTGTTTGATTAGGGTGCATGGCTAATAGCCTCAATAGAATGGAGTGAAAACTCCTCAACCTTAAACTTCTTAATGCTGATATTAGTGGTAAGCCAGATGAGAAATACCTCCCCATTTCTTATGGCTAATGAGCAAACAACTTTGCTTAGTTTGACATAAATATACCCCCCCCAAAAAAAAAAAACTGCAAGTGAACCTTCAATTTATCCACAATTCTCTAACTAGACAGGAGTAATTTTTTTTTAAAAAAAGGTCCCATCATAAAAAATGGATCTATGCCATGCATTTGTCTCAACTATTTTAATGATCTGTTCTAGCTAATCATCCCAAAAGATATTACGATTGTATACATCTTGTGTACAATGTCGGTTTTCACTAGTTTTACTCATTTTTATTTCGAATTCCTGTGGCTACAAGTAATGTAATGAAAACAGTGCGCTGTGCAAGCTACTATCAGCAGTGAGTACAACAGCNAAAAAATTATACATTTTATACACACTAAAAATAAAACAAGTTTATTCACTTCATAAGTAACTGGGAACGGACTGCAAATGCCAATGAAAAAAAGTGTTAATGGTGTAATGCCTTGTTTTTCAGGGCCCCACCCAAAGATTTCTGCTGACTTAACACATACAGTTACTTTGTCCAACGGTAAAATAAAGTGTGCTTTAAAAAATAGCATATTCCTGCCGTTTGCAGCAGTAGATTTTGTTTGGTTCAAATATAGGTTTCTGATTACTGGAACGTCTCAAAAGTAGGCAATACAAATGAGGCAGTTGCAGTTCATTTAACCAGCTGAATATATTTTTATATATAATATATTATATATATATATAAATAATATACCCAATCCTTACAAGATGCCAAACATTTAGGAAAAAAACACCTTTACATCAATGTTGAGAAGCAGGGAAAAATAAATTCAAACAATTATTTTTATTTGTATTGATGGTATTTCACGTTTTCTAGATTTTATTTCCTTTTTTTACAGTACTGAAAACGAAATGGAAACAACATTCACATTTTCCCGAGGAACTGTTAAAGATGATCTCTACATGGGTAAAACGGTGAGCAACCAGAAGTTGGGTCCATTCGTGTTCAAAATTATCACAGGGAATGAGGGCTTGATCTGAATAATCTAGTACACTTACTGCAATTTATTTGGAGAAGGTCTTCTTAATATTTTTAAAACGAACCTCCCAGTTCATGCGATTATACAGTCCAGAACAGATCAACCTGCCGAATGCACCTTATGCTACATAAGTGTATACTTTGCGATCCTCAGGTGTTCGTGCCAAATATTCTCTCTCAATAAGTCCCTCGATTCTCTTTTTAATAACCACTGGGCTTGGTAAGAAACGAGCCTTCAGCTGCTGAGTCACCTAGAGATGGAAGAAGGGAGAGACAATTTACAGAAATTCATGCGTATGGTTTTTTTTTAAAAAATCTGTCTAAACAAGAACAAGAAACTGGAGTGGACATTTTTAAGTAGCACATGAGAATTCAACGAAAGTAGAAAACAAGCTAAATGATTATTTACCAACAAGGGGAAAGCAACCTGACATCTGTAGGCACAGCTGTTTATAAAGCCAGGAAAGGGTCAGGAGGAAAATGGCATTACATTTGCACTCTCAAATCAAATGTCCAAAAAGGAGATCTATGAATTCACCCCCTTCCTCCCTGTGATTCCCTGTTCCCCTATCTCAGTAGAAACACTTTGTTCTAGGCCCGCTCTTGCTCCATGGAAGATATCAATAAATACAAATATTGATGTAAAACTTACAGTAACTGTACACTGAACATACATTTAAATGAAATCATCTCACCTCTGCTACCAGAACATTGTGTTGCATCTTCTTCCTTGATTTCATGATGCGGACAATGGCAGCTTCAATTTCATGCTTTCGGTCATCGTCAACTTTCTGCCGGGTTTCTTTTCGTTCTGGGTCTGACTCTCCTTGTTTGGCAGCAACTGCCAAAGTAGAATAATGGATAAAGTCATCAAATGCTAAATTATGTTGACTTGACAATTCTTATATGTCTATTAAAAAAACTGCATTGAGTGCTACTTTAATGCTTCATAAAGCTAAAGTTCCAGAAATAAGACCATCACAAATAAGACACCCTCGAGGTAGAACTTCAGTTCTACTAAATAAAAGAAAACCAGGTGAGTTATTGAGATAATTCTCACAATTATATAGTTTTCTCCCTCATCCCCCAACTGAAAATGTTGAATGTGATTGGCATTAAAATGGTAATAAGATATTTGTCCTGGGATTTTCTGGTGATGCCACAATGACCATAGTGTTTTGAAATGAAACTTGATGCTTTAGTTTGCTATTGAAGTATTTATTGGCCACGGATGACCAGAGTTTTAGGTTGATGACGCAAAATAGTTTAGACTTATCAGCCTGTCCAATCAACTTAGAAAAAAAAGTTTAAGAGTTGAGGTTGAACTTGTGCCTGGAGACACTTTGAAAGCTCAACTTCCACAAATGACGAGGATAATTTCCCTTAAGACGAAGGAGGTCAACAATTTTTTTTAAGAAATCTGCACAATTGCACTGCCAGTTTGGTCAGGTGAACTCCTCAGTTTGTTGAAAGATCTCTTTGTCAAATGCACCCATAAGCACTTTGACCAGGGGAACCAATACTGAGCAAAGTTACACCAAACAAAGTTTNAAAAGTACAAAGTAAGAAAAAGAGGGGGCAAGTAGGCATCTTAGTATGTGGAAGTTAAACATAAAGAATGAGAACAATCATGCATTAGGGAAAGTTAACTAACAGCATTTTGTTCAATCACTACGTGGGCATGAGCATACTAGTAATGCTGCAACTGGCAGTGACAACCTAAATATCTGTGTGTTAATAAAACATAAGAATTTTTTTTATATTGAAAACACCATTTGACAGCCTAAAATGATTGACAACCGTTGCCATATTTGAACAAAGTTCCATTGTTAAACAAATTTTGAATTTAAGCCATAAGTCTACCTCCCAATAGCTATTAAAGGGCCAAACTCAAACAAGTCTGGGCAGTTTTAATGACTTACCCATTATCAACGTCACTAACCTATCCTTGTTTTTTTTTATATGCTGTGATTGTGCAACAAGCTTCAACTATAGTTTCAAATCAGTTATTTAAATCTCTTTTTAACAAACCTGTTTGAATCTTGACTCTGTGTAACTTTGATGTAAACTGATCATTCACTACAAAAACATGACCAGGCTCAATTTCCTTTGACTTGGGCTCTTTGCTCAGGACCCGTTGTGTTGGCTTGCCACACGCCAATGACTGAAGAGCTCGGATCAGCTCTCGTTCAGGAATATCTGTCTCTTGCTGAATTTCCTGAAATTAAAATTAGAATCATTTAAAACTAAGATCCACTCAACCCATGGCTGTTTGTGGGACTCTGCTTTGTGCAGTTGGCTGCTGCGCTTCACCCACAAAACATAGTCTCTACACTTTACAGTATATTCTACAAAGTGATGAGGCGCTATAGCAAATGCAAGGATTATTATTAGTATTAACTTTTCTTTACAACTGTGCTTTCGGTGACTTGTAAGTGCAAACATTTTGCTGAAACATTTTTTAGCATCTTTCGGCTGCATAAATCTGTTGTTGCCAGGCATAAATATGGGAACCACATTTGCTTGTTCCCAATCTGTCAGACCTTTCCCAGTGTTGACTGGTCAATTTCAGGTTGTGTCAGTGCATTACAAATCTCCTTCCTTGTTTCTTCAGCACTTAGGGTACAGTTAATCTTTTATAGGGATTTATTGATCATATTCCACTTATGAATCATGTTTGCACCAAATCAATCTCACCTCAAATGTATATTTTTCTCTGTTGTTAAACAGCATTAATATAGTCATCTGGAAAGTAGACACTTGTAATATGTGCTTTCTGGTATTAGAACCAGTTACTTGAGCTCCACCTACGCCAACCTCAGATCCGTCTTCCTATTAAGCAAAATGTAAAAGATACATCAGAGCTGATACAACAAACATAGCATTGGAACAGATCATACAACAAATGTTAGTACACATCTTAGAACGGGAGAATGAGAGAAATAATGCATTTTGGGATTAGTATAAAGGGCTTTTATACTCCAACATACAAAATATCCAACTGATTTGAAAATTTACATTGGGATCAAAGCTAACAATTCTCATTTCCATTTTCCATCAAGGCATCATGTATAACAAATGTAGTTAAAAAGATAGTTTGGAGATTAGTTGCCTTTTTTTTAAAAAACAAAAAAGTTAAGTTAAACCGACATTCAAAATCACAGTTAACTATACAGCATCTCAACAGTTGAGAAAAGGCTATTAAACAGTTGTATCACTGAATACATTTACTACATATCAGCTTTCATTGAGGTGAAATACAGAGGTGAACATTACCATCAACAGGACAACATCTCCCTTCTCCATCTATATTTAACAATGAACTCCTTCCCTCTCCTACAAAGATCAGTCGGTAACCGGACGATAAATAGGCGGTGAATGTTTCCTTATCAATAACTATTTCTTTACCTTTTTCACTGGGCCATAGAAAGTGGCATTTAGATCTGCTGAACCCATGTGGTGTTGGAGTGTGAGCTGTCGTCCACTGTGCTTTGCCAAGTAGAATCTACAGAGAAAGTGAACGGTTGCCAAAAGTCATTTCAATAGAATAAAGAAGTTATTTAAACAGCGAGATGAATATAACAGCATTTAAATGGCTTTGGGTTTGTTGCAGCCCACTTAAATACAAAGCTATCATGATGAGGAATTCAGCATGCTCTCGTCTTGGTCAGTCCACTCAGGTAACCCCACCCCCACCAGTACAGCATATCCTGCGTTTATCTTTTTACGTTAAAATGTATTGAAGGGATCCACAATATATAATAGACTAGGATTAAAGTGAATGTTAAAAATGGAGAAATCAAGAGAAATCAAAGTTTCAATACTCAAGCCTTGTTATTTCCATTATAGAATTACAAGCACACAAAAAACTTCACATTAAATCATAATCAGCTTATATAATTTAAGTATTAAAATGTTAAATTTTTCAAGGAGGAAGGATCCTTTAAAAAACACATTATTTATTATTTTACCTTCTAAAGACTTCAAAGGCATGTCGTGGTGCTGGAGGGATGTTACATTTTGGTGTGGCTGATTGAGTAGGCCAATAACCCGTGGTTAAGACTCTTACTGTCAAATCAACACCTCCTAGAGAAACCTGAAGAAGAAAAAAGCCATTTTGATTTGATACACAGCAACAAACAAATCTATAATTTAAAATACTTCACTTTGTATCATAGAATGTTAAATTGAGATTAAAATTAGTAGTTTAAATACATTTGTTTTAAAACGTCAACAATAACTTGCAATTATATAGCACTTAAAAATGGCAGCCAGAATGAATCATATTAAAATTCTGCAATGTAAAGCACTAGGATAAATTAAGGCATTCTATATTTAACACCATTAAATTATTCTCAAAAATATTTTAGTTGGGTCAATTTAGCTAAACATGATATGTCCCCTATGTTAGGAAAATGCCCTTAATCCAGGTACTAGAATTAATGCAGCTGCATTGGGAATTGTGATTGAATGTGTTCTCACCCCTGTAGATTGTAAGTGCTGTCGGAACTCATCCATCGTTGTGTTTGAGATACTCATGTCCCTGAACATTCCCTCCAGTTTGGATGTAAACTGGCAGCCGCATTCAGTCTTGAGGGAAGAAAAGAAACATTTCAACTAATTTTGGAAACAGTTGAAACATTAAGTACAATCTTGATAGATACAAGCATTTCTAAAGAAATGTTTTAATATTTAGAGGAGTAATAATGCCAGCCCAGTTGTATAGTTTTGTTCCATTGTAACCTGATGAAAGTAAGAGGATTCCGTCAGGCTAAATTGACAAACTTATGAAAACATATTGGCTCAGTATTCTACCATGATGGGCTGAAGTCCTTTTGCCCAAGAAGATGCAAAAAGGAAGGCGACTATTCAAAATAAAACTGCATCAAAGAAGAAACCTGGGACATTTAAATGGTTTTAAGATGAAAATCTTAGATATTATCTGAGAGAATAAGTGCAATTTAAAAGGCTTTGCCCACTGTGCCACTAAGTCACACAGACCCAAATGCCACAGGTATGATTTAATTATGCACTTAGTGTATTGTATCTAAGTCTTGCAGCACTAATGAATAAATTTCCATTTAAAGTTAAGAGTAGTGCTTTTGATGCAGAACTATAATGGAAAATCCTCAAGTGATGTTATAGGCCATGGAGGCATTTAAAGGCAAAGATCTTAAAATCAACCCTTAATAGTTAGGGAGCCAGTTGAACTGGACGAGGATGGGAGCCTATTGTGGGAGAGGATGAGGCTTTAGAGTTCTGGAAAGTGGTGAGTGGAGCTGGGGAAGTGGGCAGCAGAACATTGGAGAAGTTTGGGTGACAATGGCATGGATTAGGGTTTCAACTGCACTAGGTGAGTTAGTAGCAGAGGTGAGCCATGTCGGGGTATTGTAGGAAAATTAGATTTGGTCAGAGCCAGGATGAAAAGTTTAAAGGAGGACTGAGGATCGAACAAAATACTGAGGTTTTGTGCATGCTTTGTGAGTTGGAACAAGCGACAGAGAGGTCAGCGCCTGAGGTCAGGAACACTGGCAGGATAATTTTAGTTTTGTTGACATTGTTGGGAGATAGTTAAGGCTCATCCAAGACATGATGGCAATCTGACAGAACAGTAATAATCCTGAAGTCAAGGGTGGAGTCAGAGAGGTAGACATAGAGACCCCAACACCTGCATATGCATCAGCAAAGGGAGCATGTAGATCAAGAATAGGGCAGTGCTGAGGAACACTACACGTGACCATACAGAGATAACCTGCTGTTTACTTGGGGCTTCTGCCAAATTGCCCTAAATAGATCACATACCATTTTCACAAGTAGAACATATACTTCATCAGAATGATTCTCACATTGTATCCTATATTCATATCACTGAAAGATTATTGCACATAAATAAGTAGGATAAATTTGTTCCAAGGATTCTGTATTGGAAAAATTGGTTAGCACAAATTCAAATAATATGATCTTATTAAACAAAGTTGCATTTTCACCTTAAGTTTTGAAATCATATTTTTCTCGGAGTCATCAGACACACTTTTGTTGGTGAGAAGTCTTCTGGCCAAATGTTGCTTGTAATATCGCTCAAACACATCCTTCTCCTGCATAAACCGGAAAAGAACCATGGCCTTGTCTAAGATGGTCTCCACTTCTTGTTCTGTCAGCTTTAAAAAAAAATTGTGATCTGTTGCCTTTGCACTTAGCCACATTTTTCACATTTCATCATCATTAAAAGCAGCGAGTTTCAAAGATTTAGTTCAACCAAAAGATGTGATACCAACACTTATTAAATTACTATAGTCTACATTTGGAAAAATCCTGACCTTAGCTCAGCAGATGCCTTCACAAAAGAAATACATCCTCCCTAAATCTTAGCATAGCTTATTTCTGCAGAAATTGTGTAGATGGAATTTCTTCCTGGAAATGACATTAATCCCTGGAATATGAGGTGGTTGCTGTTCTCTGGAAAGAAACATGTTAAGCAGCCTTCTGATATTCTATTTGGAGGAGCGAGTTGGGTAAATGCAACCGAGTGCAGTCATTTATATTTAAAACTACCACTGGGACTCTTCCGGAACATCGTCATTCAACAACAACGACTACCTGGATTTATATAGCGCCCTCCACGCCGGATGGCATCTCAGAGCGCTTTACAGTAACGGATCCCGGGACCGAGCCAGGGGGAGGGGGAGGAAGGTGACCAAAGGCGCGGTTGAAAAGAAAGGTCTTCAGCAGAGCCCAGAAAATGGGAAGGGAGGGAGCGAGGGGAAGAATGTTTTATTAATTAAAATTAAATTAAAAAATTAGATTCAGAAATATTTTTAACCTCATTGGGAGCTGGTGATCAATTTGCTTTGATATGAAGTTTTAGGGGGTTACTTTTTAAAACTTAATGTTTTAATATTTCAGTGTACATTTAGGAGTATTACTTTACAGAAGGCTAGCTATTGTTCTAGCAGAAAGCAATCTGTATTTCCCTTTAGAAAAGAGGGGCTTTGATAAGAATGACTCCCCTCTCCTTTGTTGCGTGTGCAACAAAACAAATCTAGGTACAGGTAACGAGGACTGGATTACACTCTACAAACTCACCCCAGTCTCCATAGTACTAATGGACAGAAAGAAAACTATACTCCAGTTAAAAAGTTAAACTACTTACTCCTTTCACTCCCTTCTTCAGCTTGTCATCAATAAATAGTGACAAATACTCAGGAGATCTTGAGTTGAGATTGAGGAAGTATTCAAAGTCACCAGCAATGGTTTGTTTGAAGAGACGGTCATTGTTGAACGAATCCTGAAGGAAACGATCAAACCTGCCCTTCAGATCCAGAAGGCCCTGTTCAAACAGAAATTTGTGCATTTAGACATCAGATACATTGTACATATTAGCATTTACATGAAACAAATCTGAAACATGAAACCTGTGCAGTCTCCTCCATATTTATAACTGAAATTTGCTCCAAAATGTTAGTATATTTATTCAGTTAACCGAAACAACTTTTAGCCTCGACTGAGTCTTAAACTTACATCAAAACATTTCAAATGCTTTAATTTATTTTGTACATTAACACAAGCTAATGTTATTCACATTATGCATGACAGAATGTTGCTTATTAATGCATTTGAATTTCTAAAATTCTGTCGTATGCCTACAGATTATACCACTTCACGATACATCTTGTGAAACACTGAGATGTCTCAACAACGTGATGAGGCGCTATATTAAATATAAGCATTATTAGATAACATTTATTAAACATTGAATACATCAATAAAAGGTAGATTTTAAGATCCTTTTAACTTTTATTGACCATCACCTTTTCTGTTCTTTAAACGTATCAGCAATAGCAACAGTGCAAAAGTGTTTCATACTGACCTGAATGTAGTCAACTGGGTTCTTGCCTTCTCCTTCCTCAGATACCAGAGCTTTACCCTGCTCTCTCAAGTAGGAACTCATGCATTCACACATCGTTTTCAGACCGTTTGGTACACGGCTGAACAGTTTGTACATACAAGCTAGATCTGAAACAAGAATTTTTTTTGCTCATGTTACATTGATTTTTCCCTTTGTCACATTGTCCCCATTGCATTAAAAAAAGATACACCTTCATATTTTTCTTTCAGCAAAATAGCAATGTTAAATATTGCTGTTGAACATCGCCTGCCCTTTTGGCCTTGCTGAAAAGTACAATGAACAAAGAAATGAAAGCAGCAGTTATGCAGATTCAAATACCAGCTAGGTATGTATGTCATTAAACCAAATTCTTGGCAGCAGAGTGTTACTGTTGGAATATTTTCAGTCAAGCTGCACAAGTTAAAATCGTAAAATAAAAACCGTTTGCCCCAGGGAGCAAAGAATTCCCTAGAATGGCTGGTAGTCTAAGAGTTAACACACAAATTAGTATTTTTTTGTTGAGATCACAAGAGTTTGTTTTCCCAGTACTAACGTTTGTGCCCACTGAGTTTTTTTTCTCATGCAGTTCCACATAGAATCACGTAGATTATTCCTTTATAATTTCAAGCCCATGTCCTTGTCCATCTGTCTACTTCTCTCTTGAAACCCACATCATCCAAAGGAAGAGTTATTTCAACAATAGTTAAATATTTATGATCTTACCAAAATGCATATACTTTGATAGAAAAATGTGTAATTTTCTTTGAGTGTTCGTAGAATGAAAATCAATTTATGAAAGTCCATAAGTAACAATTTTTTTAAAAAATTCTTTACCACCTCTTTGAATTTACCTTCTGTCTTTCCATTTTTTAGCATATGGACTAGGCCTGAGTTTTCCATTTCTACTATAGTCTTCATATGTTTGGAGATGAGTTCTCTCTCCACCACCTTAACAATTGGCTCTTCTGTAGACTTATCAAGGCAGTGCATCACTCGCTCAATTTCTTCATTAATCCTCGCCTCCACCTTCTTTATGTACACAGATGCACTGTTCTCTGCCAAAAACTTCTGGCTTTCCATCTGTGCAAAAGGACACATTACCATTTTTTAGGACAGGATCCATAAAGACAGAAGAAGTTTCAAAATTCCTTCAATTTAATTTGTGTTAAAAATGTAAAATTATCTTGTGCGACAAAAGCATAATCAAAGAAGATTAAAGGGCAACCTTAAACATTTTCATTTACCACTTCACTTATCTTCCCTTAACCAGCAAACAGTAAAATTACAAATACCTGAAAGAATTCAGCAGACATCTCTAAAAATGGAGCCTCAAAATCTTCCTCATAAACTGATCGTCCTTCTAGACCTAAAATCATTAGCATCTGGCATGCGTTTCGAATTGCACCTCTAGGAATGAAAAAATGTAAAATGCATTAGATAATTATCTACTCAACTTCAGTTTTGTGTTTCATGATCATAATTATGAGATAATTCTTCATCTGATCTTTAAATCACAAAAAGTTAAGTTAATGCAATAAAAAAAAGTATAATAACTTTACAAACAACTAGTGCCAGCGATTTATAAAGGAATATTTTGACTGGCATACACACCTATCCACCACCTCTCCCTTCCTCTCCCGAGCAATCATATCCAGAAGTGTTTGCCGTAGGTGGTCTCGAATACAACCGTAGCGTACAACCTGATCTCTGAAAATGATCAACCCCAGGTTGTAAACATTCTCTACATTATTCTGTTGTACATACACACGATCCTGAAAATGAAAAAGAAAAATATTAATACTGATTTGGCTGATATTTTTTCCACTATTTACATCAAAACTGTAGTATATGGAGCCTTTCAACAACAACAAATTACATTTGTATAGCACTTTTTATATCAGTAGGATGTCCTAAGGTGCTGGACACTCAAGGGTTTGGACCCAAGCTAGGGGTTGGGAACAGGAGGGGTGGAGGGCAGGGAGGGTATGAGTAGGAGGGTCTTGAGATGGACCCTCGAGGGAGGCAATTATTTTTCTTTCAGTTGCAATCTGTTGACAAAATAACTATGAATACAATCTCTGTCCTGTCACTAGCAATAATGAACCAACCACCACAAAGCAACTATAGCTTGCTGCTGTGAAGAGAAATAAGTGATGGAAACATTTTCACTGGGTGCTCACAATTCAATTAATTTTTCATTGCTATTGGTAACTGAATTAAAGAAGGCCCTTCAGAAGGGTGAGGGCTATAAAGTGAGCCAAGCCAGGCTGACACAACCAGCAGAAACCTTGCAGCAAAGAGCAGCATCAGTAATACATAACCTGCAGCTTTCTGAAGTGGAGCCAAAAAAACAGGTACCTCCAAGTACATAGCCTTCCTTAGCTCCTAACCAAGTTAAACAAAAACTCTGAAATTGCAGAACATTTTAACATTTTAATTGGCAGCCTGCAATAAGAAATTATAGCAACATGAGCATTTGTATAATGTTCAAAAGTTAATCATTTATTTTGGCTGGAAGCATTTGTTTCAACCAAACAGAACACAAACTGAATCTCGTTTAGGAGTATATAAGCAGTATGGTGCAGACACATTGCTCTAAACTTGAGATATAATGGAGTCCAATGGCAATGCAGTATTTAGAAAACAGAGAAATGGGAAAACAGGTAAGATTAGTTTCGGATATGGTTTAGATTTTGATGCTCCGTAAGCCTCTAGATTGTTTATTTAAAAAAATGAAATGATTAATTTTCCTGTTGTTGCCCAGGCCTTAAATACAAAACAGTTTTGTCTATTTTCGGAGGGGGTGGGGGGGGGGTGGGGGGGGCAGAAAAAGGGTAGAAGATGAAAGAGAAAAAAAAATCCATTCATATTAAGGGGCAAAGGTGCCCAATTGAGCTGATTTATGATGTTATCCAATTCTCCCAGCCAAAATAAATATTAACTTTAAAAAGTGTACGTAAAATCAGGTCCATAATACACCAGAAAAAGAGCAGTTTAACATAATAGTAATAATCCTTGCACTTGATATAGCGCCTTTCACATGAAGTGAATTGACTGTATATTTTGTGGACAAAAAAGCTACAGAATTGTAAAACTAAGATGGCCAACTTGCATCTGGCCCATGTGACTATTTACACATATGTAATGCGGCCTACAGGCTGCAAGTTAGCCTTCCTTTACTACCTAACCTTGTGTGGCAAATGAGAAAACCCAATCGGATACTATTTACATTCAACGACACATCAAGTTAAACCCTAAACAGATTTAAAAAAACATTCTCCCATCTCTGCTCACACATTAAAAAGGAAAGAATGTGAACAACAACTTGCATTTATTTAGTGCCCCTCACACAGGATAGTTTCTCAAAACAGTAACAGCAAAATTACCATTTTAACTTGAACCTCATGCAAATAAACCAGTGAATGACCTTCATGGAAATAACGATCACTTATGGACCCGTACTCTGATAGCAACTTTACTTGTGAATCAAAGTGCCCAACAAAGTTTAAAATAAATCACCATTTTCTTAATTTGTATTCTACTACCACTCATCAATCCTCTTAAAGATTTCCTTTCACAACCAAAGTTCTTGCTCCACTCTATTAGGATAGGCCATCTCAGTGGTGCTATTCACAGCTCAATGACAAGAGTGTCAATGACCCTCTGTATCTTAGAAGAGATGTGGTTTTGTTTTGATGCAAGTTTGGTGTGGTCAGTTTTTCTTCATGAGAAGTGGACTAACCACAAAGTACAACAACAACTTGCACTTACATAGTGCCCTCCACGCAGGGTAGGGTCTCAGAATGCTTAACAGTGGCAAAGACTGGCTCTGAGCCGGGGTGGGGGGGGCAGGTGGCCATAAGCATGGTCAAAGAGGAAGGTTTTCAGGCGAGTCTTGGAAAAGAGGAGGGGGCAAGGTGGAGGGATTGAGGGAGAGTGTTCCAGAGTTTCAGGGTGTAGTGGCTGAAAGCATGTCCCGCAGTTGTGGGGCAGAGGGTGTGAGAGACAGGCAGGAGGCCTGTGCCAGTCGAACGGAGGTGCCGGGTGGTGGATTGGGGAGTGAGGAGGTCGGAGAGGTACCAGAGAATGAAGGGATTTGAACACAAGTGTGAGGATCTTGAAGTCGATCCGTTCAGTGATGGGGAGCCAGTGGAGCCTGGTCAAAACTGTTGAGATGTGGGTACGGAGTTTGGTCCAAGTCAGTATGCGGGCGGCAAAGTTCTAAATGAGATGAATCTTTTGAATAGTGGAGACAAGGAGACCAGCAAGGAGTATGTTTGATTAATCCAAGCAGGAGGTGACAAACAAGGGTTTCAGCTGCATTTGGGGTAAGGTATCGTTGGAGATGGGCAATGTGGCGCAGGTGGAGGAGGAAGGACAGCCAGGGGGTCGAACTGGACGCCTAGATTACACACTGGCTTGGTGAGTCTGAGGAAGAGCCCTGGGAGATTGAGGAGTTCAGATCCGCAGGAGTGTAGATGTTGACGGGAGCCAAGGAGTAAGTGCTCCAAATAGCCAACATGACAAAGAAATGCAAATTGATACTAATACTATAATCAGACAGTTAAGTACAGTGGAAGGTAGTTAATACAAAGATAAACTACTAGCTCACCATGTACATGAGGATGTCTCTGATCATCACCATTGCGGTTTGGTGGTCATTCCAGGCTTGATTTAAAGTTTGGAGGAAGTTGTTATTCAATGAATTTAGCACATCTTCCCGTACCTATAAAATCAACATATAGTTTTGTAATCATCCATTTTATATCAATATTTAAAAATATCTGTTTTTAAAGCTGCAAAAATCACCATGCACATAAATTCAAATGAATAATTTTTGTAGACAAATTGAGGCAATACCATTTTTTTAAAAAATTCAATGTTTAAGTGAAATAAGAGAATACTGAACTACATGAATTCACAACACTCCAAAGTTTGCTTTAGATTGAACAGTTTTGTACAATAAAAAAGTATAATAAAATATGCACAAGAATGTTAGTAGACATCCATTGTGGAAAACATGATTATTACATTTTATTTTTTTTCAATACTATATATTTTATTGTGAATAAGTGAATCTCAACCCTCTTCCAAATACCCACTCAATTACTTTCCATTAGAAACAGCAGATACACCTACCTTATTGATCAGATGCTCAGTAACCACTTCTCTCAATCCAGTATATAGTTTCTCACCATGCTTATGTAATACCATTGTGTAAGCATTTCGGTAGAGCTCCTCAAAGCTGAGTCCACTATTATTTTTGCGCTGAATCTCTTGGATTGCATTCTTCAATAGATCCCAGATGCTATTTACATACTTTTCATCCATTGTCATCTGAAAAACCAAATGTAACAATCATCAAATTACTGCTCGTCCGGAATTTATCACAAAACAAACTAGACATCTTCCATCATGGAATAACTTATAAATGTGCAATAAATCATTTTGAAAGACCAAATTGCTGCAGTTCTTTAAAAAAGACACATTAACAGTTTCCATTTACTTCCATTTCCAAGTTCTGAATTCTATCTGAAGATAAGTAGGTGTCCAAATAATTCTTAGAAAGTAGTTTATAATTAGATGGTTGAACTTGCCAAAATAATTATTTAATTAATATTTGAGGACAGTATTGATCAACTATACAGTACAGCTGAAAACAAATCTCTAATATTTTATAAACGGTTCTTGTGAAATCTCATACTCAAATTAAGCTGAAAGGAGATCAGTACTACTTCCTTCTAATTTAGTTTCAACATTAAACACTCCAAAAATAATGCTAACACAAAAAACCCCTCTGCTCCACAATAAGACACATTTACAATCCCACTGCATTTTTTGTGTAATTTATTTCTATCCCGTCCCCCCTCCCCTCCACTATTTTTCAGATAAACCATCCTTTTGACTTTACCTCACTGCCAATTTATGGGGAGCTTTGGGCTGTGGTCCAAGTTGAGTCTCCCAAACTCATTTTATATGGTACCCGTACAACCAACAAAGAAGCAAATCTTTCATTCCAAATTTAAAGTCAGGTTTCAGAAGCACAAGGCCAAATGTTTGGCCTCATCCCATCATCAGCCACTATTTAAAATGTTTGAGATATCAGGTAGTTAACAATGCCTTGACATTATGTGAAGCGTCAAGAGACACCCAATAAAGAACAACATGCCATAACTATCCTTGGTTCAAAGAACAGTTTAAATCAAAAATTAAAGTAGAAAAACAGTAGAAAATTGTTCACGTGTATTAGAATGATCTCTCAAAATTCCAAATTTAAAAAAAAATAATGGAACCGACATCAAACTAGGAATCATGACACTGTAAAACAGCTGACATTTTGGCTAACATGTTTAGGTTTTACACCTACACAATCAAAACAATTTTGTCCACCGTTGGCAGAAAACATCTGAAACATACTCTTATTTGAAAGTCACTCAGGTACGAAGAGAGAATTCTGATTTTTTAAAGAGCAATTGATTTTTATTCGCATTGCCAAAAACAGGGTATGAAATCTGAGATCAATGTAGAAGCAGTCTACGTTGCTTTTATTAAATTTGCACATTCAGCATTTTTTTAAAAATATGCAACTGCCTTGAATTTTTACTGTTGCAGCAACAATTGTGACACCTTAAAATCTGCTGCTGCCACTACTACAACAGGAATATTTTACAGAAGTGTTAAATATCACGAATTATGCCCACAAAATATATAGTTAACTTTGCAGTATATTCTGTGAAGCCTTTGAGATACCTCAACAATGTGATATGATGCTATATCAAATGCAAGAATTATTATTATTATAATACAACAAGATTACATTTGTATAGCATTTAATAATAACATTTGTATTATTGTAAATATTGTAAATAATAACATTTACATTATTATTGTAATAATACACAACTTAACAAGGATAATCAAACACCCTGCTACAAAAGAATCATTCAGTGCTAAAGTGGTGATGCACGAGGTCAATCTTCAATATTGCCAAGTGTTTGATCTCAGCTACAATCGTATATAGGTAGGTATAAAGCAGAGACCAGGCATCTCCAATCAGAGTATTTAATCCTTACATTTCCTTATACTTGAGCACAGATAATACTTGGAAGTAAATAAGTCAGCCCCATCCTTCTGGGACATGAGAGGAAAAGGTGGAAGAAAATTAGGAGGTGATATGCATTTTGCAGAAACAAAAGAATCATTTCAAAATACATACATTTGATCCAAAAGTTTAAAAGATCCACGAGAAATCTATAAGCCTGTAAAATCTTATTCCAAGAGCACATGTTGTTGACTGGTATGATCTAAACATTAAAATGTGGTTAATTGTAGAATTTGAACATTAACAAACAAAACTACTCTATTTGGCACAGGCTTGCCGGGTCCTGAAGCTCCATTGCATAGCAGTGGCATATTCCATTTTGGGAAAAACTTTGGCAGGACACAGAAGGACATCACCAGTCAGCTGACCATGGAACATCATCTGTGCAAATATCCATGGCCCAGATTCACTTTCCTACCTGGAGAAAATCCAGAAGCAGGATTGAAATAAGATCTATAAACTAACAGCATCTGTTATGATTAAATTTCCCTTAATTTCTCTGGCAAAGAATAAATGTTAAAGGGGAATGTATGCAGCGGAACTGCAAATGATCAAATATTACAACAGGAGATACCTGTATACGAAACAGGCAGCAGTGCTCCTGATCTTATTCCCGTATTTTATGCTATTGTTTACTTTAACACACAAATCAGAGTTACTCGATTTCAGATAAAACAAAACAATTAGAATGTTATATTCTTTTACAAATTCATTATTGCTATAATTTTTCAATATTGAACTTTGTAAATAAGTGTTAAGTATGTTTGCCTACATAAAGTCACTATACTTGACAGTACTTAATACCACAGTAAAGGTATCCCTTTTTTATAGTTTAGTATGTATTCTAAAGCCTAACTCTAAATAATCTAGAAAGTTTCAATAATGCCTCTACAAATTAATTTCCTTTGAGGTCCTAATGAATAGAAATTGTCATCATATTCAAAGGTCCAAGCTGCATAAACATTAGGTGAGCAACTACAACTTGAATATCAACCTAGGCTCCCAATCGATGACATGGAAGAGTCCTAAAGGAATCGAACCGTGGTTCAAGACATTACTCCTCTAGGCTTGTTCCTGTGATGCTGTTTTAAAAGGTGGTGACCAGAAACCGTGCTTCCTGCCGTCCCGAAAATAAAAAACTTCCTGCACACGCTTGGGGAAGTACCTATGAGACGACATATCCACATTTCAACATTAACTTCCTCAGATATCTGATAGTGAATTAACTCGACTGAAACTTATACTCTGCACCCCTTTAGCTTGCAAAACAGAACCAAATGAAGGCTTCTAAATGTAAACTGAACCTCCCAAAAATCTGTTTATAATAGAAGCCAAAATCATCATAGTTAGAACAACTTGTTTACCAGAAATAATCCAATGAAACACTAAGGACTCCACAAGTCCCCAAAGCGTCCCTCAGAAGGGATAGATAATAAATGCCATAGATCATCAAGAGAATGACTCATGTTGCAGAGAGCCATTTCATCCATAAAGCCAAAAGGCTGCGTCTAATCTTCCAAAGGACCACAGGAGATGAAAACTTCAACAACCTGTATAAATAACTACAATGTCATACTGCCAACAAAATAGAAGCATGAATTAGGTAGAAGTGGTAGGGATGTTGATCCTTATATGTGGTAATCATCAAATCAACCTGTATTTGCTGAAACCATGAATTGAACTTATTTTACCTTCAATGAAATATGTCAGTAGACCCTCTGGATCATTTACATTCTGAGAAGCTGCGTATCAGACTAAATATGTTCAATGAAATACTTGCTGCAGTTTTGCTTTATAGCTTTAACTGGGGAGGGAATGGAAAAAATTAACAAACTAAACTGGAGATAATCAGCACCCCCTTATAACTAACAGACACAAAGATGTTTGCTAGATAATGTACCCAATTGGTAGTTATATATTTTCAGAGTCATACATTTGCGTTGTTGCAGTCTAACAGATAAGAGTTTAATCTTTTGATGAGAATTCCCTTTGGTTAACTTTGAAAGTTAAAGATAGTATCAATTCTCTAAAATATAATTTTACCAAATTTTAAACAGTTCCTACACAAATACCAGCCATCAATAAAAAACAGATGATACTCCTAATTGTTCGGTCTAATTCCAGGAATCCTAGAAAAGTCCTTTAAATCAGTTTAAGCCATACATATCAATCTCCTAGGTAACATTAATTTAATCAAAAAAGTAAATGAAGATTTAACCATGTGGAATTACTGTAATACAGTACGACCCCAGAAATCGTTGCATGGTAAACTGCCATGTACTTGGGATTATACCTAGAAGACAAATGTTTGCAGAATACACTTAAAATTGAATTAACGCTTCATAAATGTACTAGTTAGCATCATTTCTTTGTTTATGCTTGGTCCCAGTCTCTAAGACAAGAAAAAAAAATTGGCTTGGTTCAGAAGAATATAAATTACCAAACGGAAGAGCCTTCACTCCGAGGAATGATCCTCAAAAAGTTTGCCTATGGGCGTTCAACCAATGATTGGCCAATCTTTCTTCAAAACATCTAACATATATTGACAAACTAAGTTTTAATTTCCTTGTCCAACCACATAAACTTCACCAACAGTTTCTTAAAGAACCACCTCAATTGTAAAGCAGGAAACCAAACAAATTTCTCCAGTCCCTTAGCCACTTATGCTGAGAATAGTTATAGTGCCCATGTTTACGGAAGCCATACCCTTTGGCTCTCGTCAATGTCTAAAATCTCACGGCTCTCACCTCCCCCACCTACCCGACCTCCCCCTAAAACTCTCCGAACCCGTACGCAACCTCGGCGTCAGGTTAGACCCCCAATTATCCTTCCTCCCCACATCCGGTCCCTCACCAGCACTGCTTTCTTCCACCTCCAACACATCGCCCGTCTCTGCCAATATCTCTCCCCAAAAGCCGCTGAAACCCTGGTCCATGCCTTTTTCACTTCTCGGCTGGACTACTCTAACGCGCTCCTCCCCGTTCTCCCCTCCACTACCATCCATAAAATCCAAATCATTCAAAACTCTGCCGCTCGCATTCTTACCCGCACCAAACTCCGCTCCCCGATCACCCCAGTCCTGGCCAGACTGCCTATCCCAGAGAGGATCGATTTCAAGATTCTCATCCTTGTATACAAGTCCCTGCACTCCTCTGCACCCCCCGACCTCTCTGACCTCCTCTCTCCTCAAAACAGTACCTGTTGCCTTCTTTCCTCCGTGTCTGGCCTCCTCCTC